TGGCCCTGTTGCCCGGCAATGTCCTCAACACCCGACATCATGTAATCCAAGTACTGAAATAGAAAAACTTGTTTGTAGTGGCAATGTTGCTTTTTATCGTTTTTAAGAACAATTCCCTTAGTGAGAACTGTCTCACCCTTCGTGCTGTCTCGGGACCAGGACTTCCTATTAACTCAGGGGCCAAACGTTTAGAGCCCTCGCCGTCAGCGTCAGCAACTAGGAATATAGATATCCATCTAACGGACGGCAGCGCTTACCAGCGCCCATCAGCGTCCACGATTGGAGAGTATGGGAAGTAGGAGGGTAGCAGACTGCTGGTCGAGTATGGGAAGTGGGAGGGATCAGAAAGCTGGATTAGGCGCCTTGGAATTGCGGCTTGGGCAAACGTACAGCCCACTACATAATACCGCATTTATTGCATAATAATGTGCTCTAGCAATTGTACGATGCGCTTGCACACGCCGCAATTCCAAGATGCCATATCGAACTGCCTACTACTCTCCTACTTCCCACACCCTCTATTCCTAGACGCTGGCAGACGCTGTTAGTTGTTGCCGCAAAGTATGAACGCAGCCTAATAGCTTTTTGAATGCGATAAGTCCTATGCAATGATGTGTGTGGGGCAGCTGACGTATAAGTATAAGTCAGAGTTTTCGTCTCCCATACATATTTGATTCTAACTTAGTGTTCCCGGGAAGAAGGCTTGGTGAGCTTGTGTAGGGAGCGAAGTCGGCAGCCGACCCCGCGCGAGTGGTAAGCAGGCCACACATACCGCTATCACCCCGCCTATCGTACTAACTCAGTGACGCAAACTGTGAAACGAAAGCAAGCTCCGTACCGCATACAACACAGCAGCAGTAAGAGTTCTGTTTATGTGCATCTACAATTTCGGGTACAGTTGAGACGAAGTAGGTGCTTTACCTACTACTATGGTAAGGGTCGAGCGCTCCATCTTTGCGTCGACAGTAGAGACCACTTTGTCACTAAGCTATCCCTAGACTAGACTAGAGAGGAACTCAACAAGCACAAAATCCGGCCTCAAGTCCCGGCTGAGGCAATACTATTTGTTCACGAACAACCTTCCGATGGAATACAGCGCTTTTGCTTTCTGAAGTGTGGCTTCGAACTTCGAACCCGATATGGGGGAAAGAATCATTGCATGGCGCAACTAACGTACCAAAGGGTTTCACATACAGACCAAGCATTACTGTGGTAGCAGCACCACTTCTTAAAACTACCAGTCACTCAGAGCTCTTGCCAGATCCTTGGCAACCAACGTGTGTAGCAGTGCAAAAGATCGGAAACGTTGCTTGCGCGTTAGCGGAATACTTTTAGCTAGTTCACTTGTAGAGCCGCAGCGATGCCAGAGGCACCGCCATTGGTTGGGGATTCCCTATGGGGGGGGTCGTATTTGGGCTGGGATAATTTATTTTTATAGTTGATTTTTCTCGCTTTGCGGACGTTTTGGAGGGGGTCTATTATTGCGTCGTTGTTGGGGAGGTTCGTAAAGCTCGACGCAAACATCCTTCATCGAATTGCGGTGCAGCAGATGCACATCAGATAAACAAGGTCCTGACGTACACGCCACACTACCCGTTGAACCAATGCGTGCCACCACTATAGTGATGCCTTTCTTTCCTTCAGTGTGTTTTGAAATCGACCTTCTTTTTCTAATTAGTATTTATCGCACATATGATGTGTTTGAAATAGTTAGCATTTTTCCCCCACGATGTTCTTCTTTAGCAGCCGATAATAAATGCTGAATATTAAATGTTAAACTACACCCTCAGCCAATTACAATATCAAGTGGCGGTGTGTTTTGAGGACAAGAAAGGTCACTTGTGCGCCCCTGAAGACGCATTCAATCATAATTCTCACCGTAAAAGAAAGAAGGGCGCATAAACGAGGAAGTCATATTGGCTATGAGTCTCCGTCCATTTCTTCACCCAACTCTCCGGGCGATTTATCGTGGGGTGTGTTTTAGGAGCAAAAATGTCAATCGGAAGCGGTAAGCCCGGCACGTTCTTCCTTGGTCACCATGTGGGCTGCTTCTACGAGTCATCAGTTTGTATTTGACAGCTGCTTATTCTTTTGTGTTACCATTTTGAAAAGGTTTTTCTACCACTTCCACTCAGCAAAAAAAAGGCTTTTCGGAAAGTACCTTGTTGTAGACGCTTTCGGTCATCGTTGGATGACGATCTTCCTTTGTTTCCACGTTCAGGTAGTTGACAAGTGGACGAATAGTGATTCCCTGAAAAGATGACAAGATGCTGGCGCGAAATAAAGTTTGAAAAGGACATTTCTGGCACTGAGCTTGCTGGGATCATTAGAGAAAATCGAAAGAAAGATTTCCTTCTAAGTAGAAATACTTGAGTATATTCAAGGCTGTGTTTTTACCTTGCGCCTGGAGCAAGTCAGTCGCTCGGTCCGAAAATGGCTATTCGAGATCCCACAGCTTATTGTTGAACAATTGCTGCTCCCACTTTGAACAGTCAAAATGCAACTCAATTTGAACTTTGCAGCGGTTCGCTCATTAGCGGCACTGCGCGGCCAGTCGCAATCGTGCGACTGAGTGGGCCATGAAAGTATGCGGCACACCCAAGGGAAATCAGAGCTGACAAGGGAACCCAACAGGTCGATCGGGCGCTTGCAATGGGATGTGTATATGTGGACGTGTCTTGAGCCGCTGAATCCAAATCTGCCCTCCAAATTTGCGGAACGATTCTCAGAAGGAGTTACGGACCATTTAATCTTCCGCTCTTGTTGGATTCCTTGACTCTCGAAAATTTTTGCTTTTATTCAAAACACTTCATATGAGTCCCTAAAACACTTCTGTTTGGCCAATTTACCTAGTTCTTTAATTATTTGACATCAGGAGCAAGCAACTCGCCTTTTCTGTTTCCTTTCAAGAAGTTTATTATGAGGATATCCGTTTATTAAAGCTTGCAGTAAGAAATGAAGATCTTATGGTTTGAGAACATGGTGAGAACATGGTGAGAACATTCCTCCACAGCATGGTGGAAACAAAACAAGCTCTTACAATGAGTCCTGATGTCAAATAATTAAAGAACTAGGTAAATTGGCCAAACAGAAGTGTTTTAGGGACTCATATGAAGTGTTTTGAATAAAAGCAAAAATTTCGAGAGTCAAGGAATCCAACATGCGACCTTGTGTCTCTGAAGCAGTGCGCCTATCCACTACCCCTTGCCGCTGCAGTTATCGTTCTCAACTTGTGCGAACAGAGCAGAGATTAAATGGTCAACTCCCTTCAGAGAATCGTTCCGCAAATTCCGAGGGCAGATTTGGATTCAGCGGCTCAAGACACGTCCACATATATACATCTCATTGCAAATGGCCGGATCGACCTGTTGGGGTTCCCTTGTGAGATGCCATTGGATTCCGGTTACACGATTCAGATGGAAGTTTAACAAGAATAAATATTTGTGGTAATGATGCTCATGAGTAGAGAAACGGAGAGAACGGAACTCTATGGGAAGTAGTTTACAAAGGAGTCTGACATAAAAAAGTGTGAAGGGTAAGATGAAGGTAGAGCAAGCGAAAGTTCCTGTGAAAAATTTTCCAAATTAGATCATATTCAAAAGACGAGGATTAGGGTTGGGGGTGGATAACATAGGTCACAGGCAGATCTAAAAACTGTGTGAAACGGTCATGAACAACAGGAACTCCTTTCTAAGGCTAAACATAGAAGATAGAAGTCAATTCCAAGTACGGTCATTGTATACAGACGACTTTAATCTCGAAGGCAGTTGGCACGATGGTTTCCTACTTAGCCTAAAATGCTAGTAGGGCGCTGTATAGTGGGGAAATGGCGAAAGAACGGAGTGAAACGGTCAAAATCCTGCGAAGAAAAAGCCTCCGTTCTCAGTGACTTGTAAATCGATTTCGGACGAGTTTCCCGTAGGCATCTTGCCAATCACCGCTACCGAAGATACGGCTGCATATGTGTACCCATGTATGCATGCAGCATCACGGCCGCTTCATACCAATCCCTTCGCTTCATAATTTGCTTAGCAAATGAATGAATACGAGCGTCAGGAACGGTCGTCCATTTGTGGGCGGGCGGGCGTGGCGGGCGTTTGGGACGTAAAGTTGTGGCTTGATAGGGCCTTCCTCGGGGAAACCGCTATGCAGCGCCTGCCCAGGGTCGCGGAATTCTATCCTGCCAGGAGTATTGATCCTAGTCGTCTTGGGGGATTTATCGTGCCAACTGCCTCTGCCGAGGTCGCGAAATTCTATCTTGCCAGGAGTATTGATCCTAGTCGCCTTGAGGGATTTATCGTGCCAACTGCCTTTAAATTCGAGATAAGTGGCCTTTGAAAGCCCCCTTAGCAACGAGAAACTAGGTTCTACCCAAGGATCTATGCGAACCCCATCGGGTTTTTCCGTACTCTTAAAGAGATCTTCACCAGGGTCAAGCACTACGTTGAAGAAAATTGAAAAAAAATTGAGTTCAAAGAACGACCCAATGGAAAAATTCACATTAAAAAAGAACAAATACAACCATTTCATCTCAGAATGTTCGAGGACAGTTTCAACTGTTTGAAAGTTCCGAAGAAAATCGGCTTTTATGGCTGCTTCAGCTCGAATTGGAGTATCCGCGTGACGATGCAGTACTTACATACCTGCAGGAATACAGTGAAGAAAATCACGACTATCGTTGTGGTGATGAACATCTGCCTCGCCATAATTGTTGATGGAATTGAAATCGCCAGACCGAAAGCGATCGCACCACGAAGGCCTCCGTAAGATAGAATGAGTTGATCGATCTGCAAATCTCATCCATAGATTATTTCTCCAAAAATGGTTGCTTATTCAACTGGGTCAGCAATAATCAGCGAGGCGGAATGTTCTACTGCAAGTCTCAGATTGGCCCCTGCGCAGGACAGCCAAGCCCTACATGCCTACGGAGTCAGCCAATGGATAGGATTCGTCCGACAAAAAAGCGAAAGACAACCTCAGTTTACCTCACAGCATGTACTGGTCGAGAAAATTCAGACCCCTCTAAGTATAGAAATAGCAGTAAAATGGAAAAAGAGGGGCGCTTCACAGCGTCGTTGATCAGGGTCGGAATATTGAGCATGTTATTGTAACGAATAATTGGTGACAACTGAACAGGTATTATAAAAGGAGAAAGAAGAGATTTACACGTTGGATGGAATGCAGCACACACTCCCCTCCCAATTCAGGCTTACTGAGAAAGAGGCTACACAATGAGTTTCGGGGTAGTCCATGTACAATGGAGTGTTCTTATTCTCCCGAACGAATGTGGTTGCAGTTTAAGATCCTCGCAAGGTGAAAAGCTCCATTGAGTTGTACGGTAGCCGATACAGGCATTTCACTTCCAAACCGCACATGTGCACGTGCGGCCACTTGCCTAGAAGCTACCTCCCTCCTGAGTAATGAAACAGGAACTCAGTAACTATTCTTTAAGCTTTTTCTATTTTTTTTAGTTAGTATTGATATGTAGTTATGCTTTCGAGTGTCGTACCTTTGTAAACTTTTTGTGACGGAATTTGTTTAGGAAGAAACACTGAGCAAGTACACCTGAATATAGCAATCGGTAAAGTGTTAATTTTCTCTGTGAAATCGGAATCAGTGGAAGATTACAGCTCACCGATTGTTCGGTACAGAAGGCAGAATACAACCGTTGCAAGGACGAATGCCGTGTCCCAGTAATGATTGGACGACATCGTAGAAAGTCCCAAAAACCTGCAATCAATTTTTCAATATCATTTCGAACCCGAGGACCTGCTGTTAATTATTCAATCTTAATCCGAACTATTCGGTTGAGGAGAGATTCTCACTGTTTTTCTACAGTTTTTATTTTTTTAGCAAATAGTTGTCGTCAAGAAAGCCGCAATATATTACTTGAAAGGGCTTCGTTTGGTCTACGATTTTTTACTAACAACTTTCTCTGGAACTGAGCTTCGTACCACGTTCAGGTGTTGAAGTAGAGACTTCAGATGGCGAAAGTAGAATTCCGACCCCCTACAGTTAAAAAGCGGTCAAATGTCACAGGAGTCTGTTCATAACATCCGCATTGGCAAGGGGACGCAATAGCTGCGCAGACTGCTCAGCAATGGTTTGGCAAAAGGGTGTAGGAATAGGTGATTTAACCTGTACGACTGGGCTGATCAAACCTGTACGACGTCGTACGTATGGGAATGCGGACGAGAAGGGTTGTATATGGATGCTAGAAGGAAGGGAATGAATGTGCCTTTGGAAATCTCCGCCTACTGATTGTTCTAAATTTTCCTAGCTTCGCGTGCGCTACATACCTCCTCCCCCTTACATGACGGCAATTTGCTTGTAAAAAGGTTGAAGTCTTTCCGGAAATGTAGTGGAAAGTTGGGGAAATTCAGGAAGATGGTAAGCATGTAAGACGGGGATGAAGGATTGGTGTCGTACGAGAAAGTCTTCTTTTGAAGGTGGTCGTAGGTAGAAAATTCTCCAGAACATCAGGATGTACCCTGGCCCGCACTGGTAGGCTTTATGATAAGATTAAGCGTATCTATTGCGGAAGGAGGCTAATCTGAGGAACGGCGACAAACTGGCATGCATGAGTTGCAGAGAAAACTAAGTTTCAGAAGACGGTCTCAAAACGCTCTCATAGATCAGAAAAAGGGCTTCGGAATAAGGTTTTGCTTGCGAAAGCTATCCGCAGTAGAATC